TTGCGGACGGATTAACTGGCTTGGGCCTCGCCAGCTGGAACAACTCACATAGTTGTTCAGACGACCGGACCATCTGCGTCGCAACTACAAGCGGCGTAAGTAAACGTTTTTGCAACCATTAAACCTTGTCTGCCTCTCCATTCACCAGCCCACCCAAACGAACAAGCAATTTCTTAATCACCTCGAGTCGGCTCTGGCCGGCCAAGACACCGGGGAGCATGCGGGGGGCCCTCCCCACGCCCCTCTGGCTCAGCGATTGGTGCCTTCTGGGTCTGGGGGGGCAACCAGGGTCCCCCCATGGCCTATTGCCACATTGGGGGAGAACCGGGGGGGCGGGGGCAGATGTGCCCTGCATGCTCCCCAGCAGACCCAGAAGTGGACCAGAAGAAGTTCTGGTCCACTTCCAGGTTGTCTGCCACACACGTGGAGGCCCCTGTGGGACGCTCCATCTGCCCCAGCATCACAGCATTCACAAGCCATGCTGGTACCTCGAGGTACGTAGAAAAAACATTTAAAGCTGTGTCTGTGTCTGATTCGCTGATTCTCCAAATTAGCATTGAATCTTCAGATTTGGATTCGGCTGAATCGAATCGGGCACAGTGATCCAAATCAACTAATCGAATCGCTGTCCCTGATTTGGACCGAATCTGAATCGAATAGGGTCCGCTTTGCATATCTCTAATAGATATAGCTTAAATACATCTACTAAATTTGAGCTTACCTTGGAAGTATTTGGAAAGTATCCACGTTTAGCCTAGAGATTAGTTTAGATCAAAACTTTCCTATTCCGTAAGGGGACTGAAAGTGCATTATTTAACCACAAGGTTTCTTGGGAGTGAGGCAGTGTGTGTGTTCAGACATCTTTTCTCCAAATAAGGCCCAAAGGAGTAGAAAGGAAAGGGAGACAGTTTTTCAAGAGCTTCAGAAAATGAAATCTTTAAAACATCATTTCTCTTCAGCCTATGAACAGTGTAACTATGCTTTACCTGAGGACCTGACCAGTAGTTGCTTTCTCTTCTTCCCTTTCCCCTTCCCCTTTTTTGTGTTGTGTGCTGTAAAGATCTTCTGTTTCTGTTTGAGAGCTGAAAGGAGTAGGAGCTGTATGGGAGTGGGCATCAAAGTATGTTTAAGTATGTCAGTGGTTAGTCCTGGAATTGTATGCGACTTTAAATAAATTAAGAACCATACAGTTATTATTTATAAACTAATATAAAAACCTAATTTAGCAAATAAAGAACTATCTTAAGTGAGAATGTCATTGCTATCAATGTGGTTAATATCATAAAGTAGTCCAAAAAGTAGAACTGTATTTTTGCTTTCTGTTTTATAGTGATGTATCTGGCCAACAGATGAATCTACTTCTAATGAAGTCCCTGGATGCACTGGAAGCTTGCTGCTTTGATACCAGTCTAGAGTACAAGTAGGTTTATTCTATTATTGGTGCTAGCATTTATAATGATTACTACCATTCATGTAGGGCCATGAAGCTTTAAAAACTGCATATTCTGAATTTAGAACTACAGCTACCCTGTTGCTAAAAGGAGACTGAACCTTCCCTTGAAAACTTTCACCTGAGCTGTGTCTTATAAATGAATCTTACTGTACCTCTTTTAAACATGCTTGTTAACAGACTGTGGAAAGTCTGGTGAGATAGCTATGTGAGCACACAAAGGAAAAGAACACCAAGAAACACCATTGGGAATATGGTGGAAGAGAGGTTTAGAAATCCAAATCCGTTGTTCAATGGAGGTGGCATAGCAGGCAGTAGCAACAGTTTTAGGTGGAGCGTTGTCGTTCTCCTTACCTGCACATGTTCATTAATGAAAAGCACTTTTGAAAGTGCCCCCTTGGTGCTCTTCTATAGCTGCCAAGATGTTCAATGGAGTCTAGCTGCTGCTTGGGAGCCTATTACTGGAATGTGCATGTGTGCACAATACAGTCTGAGCCACAAGAGCAGCTGCCTCGCATGGCTCCTTTATCTGGGAGAGCCAGTCTGTTAAATTAACAGCTGTGGATGGCATGTAGAATATGGATGGAGGCAAATTGTATTTTATTTTCCCAAGCAGGGTTATGCCTCAAGTGCCCTAAAGAGAGGAGCAGACTACCAGCAGGGTCACAAATTTATTGAGGAATATTACACAGTCACCAACATAGGCTAACCCAGTAAAACCTACAAAATGAATCTTTTTTGTCTTCATTATTTGCCGTTAAACAGTACATATGTTCCATAAAGTGACATCCCATGTGATTAGTTATTTCTTTTTAGAATAGGAATGAATTGTGATATGTCTGGTGCTGGTCTCACTTTCTATCTTTTTTTTAATGCCAATCATTTCCACGTTGATTCTTCTCTCACTGAAGATTGAAGAGCAACAATTTCTGTTCTCTCCCCCACATATTCTGTACCTTGTGAAAAACCTATGAGGGGTCACAGCTGCACTTCATTGGGCTATGAACTTGGAAATCTTACTTTGGATTCAGATCTGAGTTGTTCTGCCCCTTGACTGGCATAGAATAAGGCACATGGTGCACAGGGAACTGTATCAGCTGCATCACTTTGCTGTACTCACTGCTGTGTGTTTGCCTGCCCTATTAGCCAGAGATAAAAGCTTCACAGTAGCAGCCAAAATAGACTCCTCTGCCAACACGAGGTAGTAGGTAGACAGAAGTACATGAAACAATGGCAAGGAGGGGAGGGAGGATTCAAGTTTTTTTTGTTTATTTTTTTTCCCCTGCTTGACAAAGTTTAACTCTAGGGGTTTTTAAAAAGCTAGGTATAAAATTGGCATGTAATACTTTTTCTTTTTTTAATTGAGCAAGAAAGTAATTTTAAGCTGTGGATGCTGTTGACTCTAGTCTTGTAATGGCAGTAGTCTAGAAGTTGGTGTCCACTATTTTTTTAAAGTAAAGCCTTTTAGCCTGTGCTTGAGAAACTTCTGTTTATGGGAGTTAAATTGCCATACCATAAACTACCTTCATCATCTGCTATAAATTGAAAATGCCGTGCCATTTGTTCTCTTCCTGCCAAAAATAAAAGGTGTCTTGCACCAAAAGTAGTTTCCTTCATTCTCATTACAGGCATCATATTTAGCATGCCTCTGAAATCTGACTGTGGTGATAGCTCACCCAGAGCAAATTCATTGTGCTGGCTTGATTTAAAAGGTGTGTAGCTTTTATTAAGATCCCTGTCTGTTCAGCTTGCCATGTGGTTGGAGGCAGAATATTTTATACCATGCTGCCATCTAGTGGAAAAGAAATCTGACCATGATTTTTTCCACCCTTGTACAGTAGTAATTTTGTCTGAGTACAGGTTTCTGATATGTGGCACACCCCCAGAAGCATTGTGGAAAATCAGTCACTGTGCCAATTAGCAGACATTTAAAGGGTGTTCATTGAGGCTTCCCATCCATTGAAGGGCATTATGGATTCTTGCTTCATGTCTGCTTAAAAGAAAACTTTCACAGACTGTGCCTTACACAAAATAGGAGTTCACACAACTTTGTACACACTTGGCTGATCATGTCAATCCTGATAACAGTATTGTTCATACCAGTTCTTTGTTTACTCTATTTAATTGGGATAATTCTTTTTTGCATTTTAGTTAAGAAATTCCTTACTAATTTGTTGAAAAAACCAACAAAGACATGGAGTTACTTCAAGAAAAGAATAAGCAACACGATTGCCTATATTTTAGTAGAAAACACCTGCTCACCTAACCAAACAATTAAATAAAGATGGTGTTTTGATATTCCCAAGTTGCTCAGCTGTGGACACGATATAATATGCAGCTAAATCTCTCTCTATGAAAAGCCTGCCTTAAGCACGATACTCAGCATTGATATCCCCTTCCACCTAAAAATCCTCCATCTAACAAACTGGGAACCAGTGAAAGTTGAAGGAGAAATACCTAGAATAAATATAAATTGATAAAACTGTATAAAAATAGAACTATCTGAAACAAAAATTTGCACTAGAAAGGGGAAATGTTAGAGAGACTGAAGTTTACTAGGGACTTAGCTATAGCTGTAGCTATTGATAGATAGTATCAATAACTACTGTTATAACTATTGATTTTACATAGAAGGCGCTCAGAGGTTATAGTGGCAAGACAAGTATAAATCCCTGAGATAGGGATGGGGGAAGAAGGGAGAGGGGAAGAGAGAATTAAGTATTGTTGAAATCTATAGCTATGCATGGTACTATTGAATATGTGTTAATATGTAAGTATGTATAAAATAGGATGTTTTTCGGGGAAGGTTTTAGACAAATAGTTTAACTTGTAGACTCCTTGATTATGGAAACTACACAACAGTTTCCAGAGAGAAAGAGAGACAGGCAGCTTCAAGATGTATTTATATTTATTACTATTAATCCTTTTTCTGTTATTGATCTAAGTTTTATTAAATATATTATCTTTCTGGAAGCATATCCAAAAGGATTACAGGGAACAGATAGAGAAAAGCAAGTGAAAGACAGCTTTCTAATGATGACCATTTGTTATAAAATTCATGCACAGACAGCAGATATATTATACTGTCTCTGGTCCTTATTTTGTAAATCAGTCTAGAAAGTTTTTCCCTTTCTAAACCAAAGTAAAACACTTAAGCTGTGTCCAGATGAGTGCGGCCGTGCCATACGCAGACATGTCTTCAGTGCCACATACTACATGTTCAGGTGTTCTCCACGCTGCAAGGGAGCAGCACGGGGGTGTTTTTTGACCCTTAGATATCCAGGGGTCAACAAAACCTCGCGGGGAAAAAAAAGCAGAGCAGCTCATGGAAGGGTAGTATGTGCCACTCAAAACTGGAATCAGGCCAGCTGGAGCCACACTCTGGCTGTTGGCCAGCCTCTGTGTGGCAGGATCACCACTGCTGCAGCCCCAGGAGGCCCCCAGTATCCCAGGTAAGGCTGCTGGGGCCAGCCTCCCCAGCCACCTGGGGTAACTTGTCACATGCCAGAGCACTTGTGGCACAGGCGTTCCACAGGGACAACTAGCGGCAGCACAAGGTGGAACCAAATGTCCATGCAAGTGCGGACACAGCCTGAGTGTTTAACCCTGACCTCTTCATAGTCAACACTTTCACCAAGTTTTGCAGAACACCAAAAAGTGGGATATTTGTGGCTTACCATATATATTTTCCTTACTAAGGGTATATTTTAATTACTCTTGCAGATGTGTTTTTCTGTATAAATCTGTGGCATAGTTGACCTGGTCTACAACTACTAGAAGCAAAAATTAGTGATTGTAGGTGTAAAAAAAAATGAAAGTTGATGCTTAAGTGCTTAATATATTTGCAGCCAAAATCTCTGAATAATAAGATACCTTGCCTCTACAAAGCTCTTAATAAGAACAAATAACTGTTTGAAAGCTGGACAGGGTATGACTTCAAGCATTTTTTTACATGACTGTCATTAATTCTTAATAAGAGAACTCTGGTTCCACACAATTCAGTGTAAAAAAAACCCCCACTACAGTGGTGTCAGAATTTGACTCTTTAACCATATAACACGTTTTAAAAAAAATCATATAATAAATACATGTGTTTTGTTAGGACTACTTGTGAAACACCTACATACTTCTCTCTAGTACTGTACACTGAATATTCCACAAGTGAAAAACATTATTGCTGTTATCTTAGAGATACTAAAATAAGGCTACATACATGTACTATGACAGTTAAGGTATTTTACTGTTGAAATGCACTGGTATTTTGATTTGTTTTTTAAGCAGCCATACAGATTGTGCGTGCGTACGCACGCACGCGCGCGCACACACACACACACACACACATATATATATATATATATATATATATATATATATATGTATATGTATATATATATGTATATATTAAAGACAAAATAGTAAATTGGAGAAGCCCACAAACTCTCCACCCATTCACAAAAATGAGTGTTTGTCACAAAATTTATTTCCTTTCTGTTTGTGTGTGTGTTTAAAGTGTTGTCAAGCTAAAATTTTGTGTTGGGTAATTAAACTAACTAGGAATATTATTTACCTTCTTATAGACAACCATTGGCATATTTTATCAAGTTTCATAGTATAAAATTGCGTGTAAAGAAAACTTGTCATAATCCATTTAGTTGGTTGATTTGTTACTGCATTTACCTGAATTTAAGACAACCCGCCAACTAGATTCTATACTTGGAAAATTATAAATGTGTTATGATTTTCCATGTTTACAATATAATTAGTAGGAAATTGTATTAAATTCCTGCCTCCCAATCAACTGCTATGCCAGAGAAAGCAATGGCTGGGGGCATGGAGCCAGACTCCTACTTCTTGCCCTTCCTGTCTAATTCCCACTACTTGCCCTCCTGCTGCCTGCCTCTCCATGCCTGGGGTTGTCCCATGGTGTCTGCTCCCCCCTGCAGCCTGCCCTCCAAGCTTTGCCTCCCCATATCTCAGCCTTCCTCCTCAACCTGTGCCTGTCCGAGCCACCTATCCCCTCCATGTCACTTACCTTCTGCTTCTGCATCTCTGCTCCAACTCCATGGCAGTCAGCAGCAGCAGCAGTCCTGGCCCAGCCAGCCCAGGAAGGAGCAGCTTTATCTCCCAGGTGAGCCAGGTCATGCCTGGAGGGACTGGAGGTGGAGCAGAAGGTAAGGGGAAGAGTGGGTAGCTGTTGCAGGTTAGGGGTGTAGGCTGCATAGTCTCCCCCATGCATCCCCCAAGCTGCACACATGGGTCTTCCCTGTTTCCCCCTTCCCCTACCAAACAAACCATCCTGGTCCTGGGCAGGCAGTGGCTTAGCTCTGGCTTCAGCCCTGAGCCCACGGCCAAAGCCAGAGCTGAGCTGCTGCCTGCCTTGGGCTGCTACTTAAATCCAAGACAAGGCTTTTCCCCTTATGTTGATTGCGGGAGGAAACACCTCATTTTGGATTTGAGTAAATACTCAAATCATAAGTTCAATAAGCTAAAGAGGATTGTTGCTGCCATATACTACCTCTATTTTATGTTGATAAACAGTGCCTCTATCCATGAAGCTATTGCCAACTCCTTTGGCTGTTGACAAGCATTATACATTCAAAGTTGTGGCTGAAGTATTTTTTTATGTTTATTTTTGTTTAATTTATTAAGTATAACTATGAACTCTCCCATTGTTTTTAAAGGATATCTCTAGTTCAAATGAGTCCTCAGGACTTCTGCTGTTGTTGTATTTTACACTAAATTGACTGCTGATGTTTAAAAGCTGATATTGCCATATCTGACATCCGTTTACTGCATGAGCTTTACATGTAGAAATGATAGATTCCCAAAGCCATCTTTGCTTATTTAACCCTACACTCCCATTCTGTTTTCCCTCTCTCTTTAAAGCACTGGATGTATCTTGGGAGTAGGACTTGTTCTTTCACTTATGAGTCACACCAACCAAACAGAGTCACGAGTTCACATCTCTTCCTCACTACAAAAACTCTGTAACTACCTGGATGAAAGTGAGGATCAAAGCAGAACATTCCAGGAGGTAGGATTGTTTAAGCAAAACTTTCTAATTTTCCCTCTTCTTTTACCAGTTCTTCCTGATAACACATCTTTATACTGAAGTCATATCCATATATAGTTTATTACTATTACTTTGAAATTGTCTTCATTCTCTCTGTGCCTTACGTTGACTTGTTTTTTTTTCTTTTATCATAACATTCCAGCTTCAATTTTTCCAAACAAAAATAGAATTTAGTAATTTCCAGTAGTGATGTGCAGGTGTAAAGAAAATTAAATCATCACAGTGCTTTGCCTCTAATTTTTCTCATATACCTAAAATAAACTTGGGCCCAGGTCTCTAAAGATATTTAGGCACCTACCTTTTATCCAAGTGAATAGAAGTTGTGTGCCTAGAAAGGCCTAAATGCCTTTGTGGAGCTAAAACTTTCTTGTTTTGTTTTAGCTCCTTTGCTGCAAAGAGTAGTCTCCCACAAAGTACACAGCAAACTTCAACCCTTCCCCCTGCAAAGGTGGTCTTTGCTACCTTCTTTGAAAATTCCTTTCATTTTGGTAGTGTAAACACAGCAGGAGCACTGCTGTGGCCATGGGTTTTTTCTGTATTTCTTACTATAACAGTTCTCAAGAATTTTAGAAGGCAGGTGTACTAGGTTTAAGTGCAACATTATTTATATAGTGCCAAATTGTGCATGGAACTTAACAGACAAATAAGACATGATCCCTGCCCCACAGGATTTCCAATCTAAGTTGTGAGGTGACTTGAGTAGGGAAGCTGACA